AAGATCTTATAGGAGTGTTTGGGGAATTCTTTGACAGTGGGGAGGTTAATCTTTGCACAAATGCATCATTCATATGTTTGATCCCTAAGAAAGAGAGATCGGTGAAGATTGGGGACTATAGACCTATTAGTTTGGTCACATCTCACTACAAAAATTTGGGGAACGTGCTTTCAAAGAGACTTCGAGATGTTTTAGGAGGGACGATTTCTTCATCACAAGGAGCTTTTGTGCAAGGTAGGCAGATTTTGGATGTGGCTTTAGTAGTCAATGAAGTAGTGGAGGAATATAGGGGTTTGCAGAAGGAAGGAATTATATTTAAGGTGGATTTTGAAAAAGCATATGACCATGTGGATTGTAGTTTTTTGGATTTTGTCATGGAAAAGAAGGGCTTTGGAGAAAGGTGGAGAAAAAAAAAGGATTTGGGGTGCGTGTCTTCATGCAACTTGTCTGTTACAGTAAATGGCAAAGCTGGGAAGTCTTTTCAGGCATCTAGGGGATTGAGGCAAGGTGACCCACTATCTCCCTTCCTCTTCATTTTGGTAGTCGATGTGTTGGGAAGATTGATGGACAAGGTGAAAGAAAAGGGTGAGATTGAGGATTTTATGGTGGGTAAAGATAAAGATTTGTCACTCATCTACAAGTCGTGGAGGACACCATGTGTTTTTCGTCAATAGTGGAGAAAGGTTAGTAATCTTCTTGCACTCGAGTGTTTTTGAAGTCGTTTGGACTCAAAGCCAATCTTACTAAAAGTAGTGTAGTAGGAATCAACTTGGAGTCTAGTTATGTGCAGAATTTGGCGGCCATCTTGGGGTGTCCTATTGAAAATTTTCCTTTTAAATATTTGGAGATACCATTGGGAGGAAATCCTAGGTTGGAGGCTTTTTGGAATCTTGTCCTTGATAAGATTGGGAAAAGGTTGGAGGGACGTTGTTATCTAGAGAGGGGAGATATACTTTGGTGTAGTTTGTGTTGAGTTGCATCCCTGTGTATTTCTTATCTTTGTGTAAAATTTTAGTTAGGATTGCTAGAAAGATTGAGTAGTTAATGAGGGATTTCCTGTGGGAAGGGTGCAATGAGGGGTTTAGGTTTCATTTAGTTAAATGGGAGGTTGTCACTCTACCTAGAAATAAGGGGGGTCTTGCTATTGGGAATGTTGTTGCAAGGAACATTACTTTCTTAAGCAAGTGGTCATGGAGATTTCCTCTCGAAAGCGATTCGTTGTGGCACTCCATTATTAAAAGCAAGTATGGTGTTCAGGCCAATGGTAGAGATTCTGTTGTGGTTAATAGATGCAATTATTGATCACCATAGAAATCTTTTTCTCATTTACTACCCTATCATGTCTTCATTCTTGTCTTTGAAAGTGGGAAATGGGGAAAATATTCGATTTTGGGACGATGAGTGGGCGGGGGAGTCCTCTTTCGATAGAGTCTTTCCACTCCTTTATCGATTGGCTTGAGTTCGGAATGTTTCAATTGTGTCAGTGGCATGTTCTAACTTGGCACCAATTTCTTGAACTTTAATTTCATTAAGAATCTTAGTAATAGGGAGTCACTCGAGTTGGTTTCTTTGTTGTCTTTGCTTGAAGGGGTTTCTTTGGTTCCTTAAAGGGGGGATAGGAGGGTATGGAGCATCAATTCATCAGGAGTCTTCATGTAAATCTATATTTGACCGAATTATAGATGTGCCTTCTATTCTTTTATTTCCTTACCACAAAAAAATTTGGAAAGCGGTTATTCCTTATAAAGTGAAGTTCTTCATGTAGTCCTTAGCTCATGGGAGTGCCATGACCATTGATATGCTCCAAAGGAGAAGGCCCAATCATGCTCTTGGTCCTCAATGGTGTATAATGTGTAAAAAGGATGTGGAATTGGCAGATCACTTATTTCTACACTGCTCGGTGGCCTTTGCACTTTGGTAGCGACTCTTTGGTTTGTGTGATGTACAGTGTTGCCCCACGGGAGTGCATGCACATGATGCTAGTTTTCTTTGGAGGGTTTGGAAAAAATAGGAAAGCCAAAACATTGTGGTCTTGCATTGTTCTTGCGATTTTTTGGATCATTTGGTTGGAAAGAAATGATAGGATCTTTAAGGAGAAGGAAGCAATGGAGGAAACTTTGTGGGATAAGGCGAGACATTTGGCATCAGTTTGGGCTTGTGTGTCTCCTCCTTTCAAGGACATACCCATGTTTTTTATCTCTAGGGATTGGGCTGCTGTTTTCCATGCTTAGTGGCGGTTGTTATATGTTGTAGTTTTGTTGGTCTTTAGCGTTGTATTTCCTGACTTTGTAGGAGGACTTCTAGTCCTCTCTTTGTTTTCATCTTATTTCAATAAAATTGTTTTGTTGCTGCTCAAAAAAAAAAAAAAAAAAAAAAAAGTTAAAATTTCCTGTTAAAAAAAAAAAATGTTGAAGACCCCTTTGTTCTGGAGTTGCATGCTTTCTGCAACTCCCATTGACTCTTTGGACCACATAGCTTCAAACTTAGAAGATCGTTTTATGGTTAATTTTTCTCCTACTTCATCAAGAACAATGAGAGAACCTTTAGATTTAATTCTAACATAACGTGGAAGTTGAGGACCCATTAATTATGGAGTTGTAAGTTAATCACATGTATTTGTGTCTCGTAAAATTTTCATAATTTTTTGAGAGATGGCTTGATGTTTCTATTTCATTGTGATAGTTGCTAGTTTGTCTCAATCATGTCATTGTATCATGTTTAGTTTAGGATTGTCATGCATTAATCATATTTTGTCTTGGGTTTTGCCATGATTGCATGCTTGTTAATTTTCATGTTAGTTAGTTTTTGATTGACATCATCACTACAAGAAAAAATACATTGCACAGTGTTTATAATGTAGCGTTTTAAAAACGTCTTTGTTGATTAGTCAAGCACAACGTGTTGTAAACGTTATCTTACATCTAGGTCAGACGACGTCATTTAGCTATGTAGTGGTCACGCTATTTCATATTAAAACCTTATCTCTGTTTGAGACCCTTCAAAACCTGTCTGTTGCCAATTGAGACCTTTCAAAACCATCTCACTCCAGATTCTCTGAAACTCAGATCCCCTCTTCAAAACCTCTCTCAATCTCTCTCTCTCTCTCTCTTCACTTCAGATTCATCAAATAGTACAACCACCATGTTCAGAAACTCTTTGCTTCCTCGATATCGAGTTTGAACAGAAGATATTGTGAAGGCTCTGGAGGTTGAAAGCCGTCGGTCACTCTCGATTGAATGATCTATGTCTCTCTCTCTCTCTCTCTCTCTCTCCATCAGTTTTATGAAGGCTATCGATGATTTGAAGGTTGATTCTAGCAGATTTGAAGGTTGATTGTTCAGATTTGCGGTTCTCTCTTTTGATTTTGTGAGTATTTAATTCATTTATTTATCTCTCTTTTTTTTTTTAAAAGATTGTATACATCTAAGAACGCAGATCTTAGATCAGCCCCTGTCAAACTGTCTTTCAATCAATTGATCGATTGATTGTTTTCGTTCAGATCTATTTTGATTAATCATTTGGCTGATTTTTGTGAGTCTCACTCTCTTTTTGCTTATAAATTTCTGTTTCTCTTCGAGCTTTAGATCTATTCTGCTTGCATTTCGGCACCACACTTTGGCATAAAGGTAATGTGCTTCATTCTCTCTCTCTAGAAACTTGCTCTCTATGTTCAATGCATATCCAGAGTTAGGCTTCTTTTAGTATTGATGTTTTGGATAGTGTATGTTAATCTTTTCTATCTCTAGATCACTTTGATTAATAATGACTGGTTTTGTTGAGGAACCTTCGCCTGAAACTAGATTCGAGAATGATTTAAATAATCTTGCCATTATAACTACAGTTGTGGTTCTGCCTAAGCTCAAATGGTCTACAGCGGCCTCTAGCCTAACGACCTAACAGCTCACAGACTTCTGTGACTTGGGTGCCACACAGGTTAAATGAAAAGAAATGAAATCAACACGAAACTAACTTGGCTTTGATACCAAACGGAAGCCTAGGTATTATATTCTTGGTGATAGAGATTAGATGCAGATTAAAGATTGTAACTGTTTTTGAAAACGTTTTAAAGAAGCTTGTTCATCTTTGATTTTTCTTTTTAATGTGGAAATTCTTTGACTACAATTAATAATTGATTGTCCTAATGCAAGAGAAAATAACAATCTTAGATTAGACAATTCTTCTTGTAAATCATAAATATATTGATGACTATCATTAATTTCAATACGTAATTCAGAAATCAAAAGCATACTACACTTATATTAAAATAAGAAATATACAAATACAAGATAAAAGAAAACTTACAAAGGTTACACTCTTGGAAGCAGATTAGACAAAGCATCCAAGATTACTCACACCAAGTACATTACACACTTCTAATATGAAAATCTTAAGAATACTAGAATACCGAAAGCGTGCCTTTTGCAGAGGGAAGGACTGGCTTTTATAGAAGAGAGGAGCTGGATTTGAAAATGTTTGAAGTCCAAATAGATAAGAGAGAATCTGTTTTTTCTTGTTTTAGCTGTGTCGGTGGAGACCATTATTGCTTTGCTTTGGCTTTTGTCGGTGGAGAGAATCCACTTTATGAGCTGGATCATTATTGCCTGAGTCACGAGTTTGCTTTGAGTCACATGTTTTTGTTTTTTTGATTTGGTTGTGAATTTGCCATTAATTGTTATATTGATTCCATGTTTCTTTATGCAGTAACTGTTGCTGCAATTTTTATGAAGCAAGTTCATTGCAGATATTTGTTTGATTTCACCTTCCTTTAGGGTAGACTTTTTTACTAATACCATTTGTTGATTAGTGAAGGAATCATATAAGTTAAATTAGAAGCAGCTCATGCTATGTCTAGAATTTCAAAAATGTTGATTCTTGCTTAGTTATCTTCCCAAAATGTCCCACATTGAAACAAATTTTGGTCTGGATTAGATAGAAGTTTTACAACCTCAAATTTCTGTCTAATGCTTTTATACTTTATCTTAAAATTCTGTTTGTTTCAGTTAACTTGAAGTTGAAAGACAAAATGCAAGCTAATGATGCTGAGATTAATAAAATCCGAGCAAAAAAACTGGTATACTAGTGTTTTTTTTACACAAAAGCTCACTGAAATTTGATGGTGTACTTGTTCTTTTCTGTTTGTTGACCTTTAAATTTTGAAACTGATAATGGAAAAATGGTCGGAGCGTCAATTACTATATAGGGAAAACTTCACTTTATCCCATGTGTTTTTGGCCGTGTGCGGTTTACCTAATGTTTGGGATTGACCGCATAACCCTCACATGGTTTGTGTATTGAAGTGCACCGTTAGGCCCATTAACAATTTAATGAAAAAGAGTAAAATATCCCTGTATACAAGTAATTTAAGTGTATGAACTATGGATATTTTCGTCATTTGTTTGGAAGACAAATTTGCACTTTAACCCCATGTGCTTTATTTCATGTGTGATCTACTCTCTTGAAATTTGAAAATGAGCATATAACCTCCTTAAGTCTGCCACGTGTTTTATACTTGCTGTTAAGGTGGACAAAATATTTCTATTCTATTGCAGGAACCATAAATTTGGAGTCCTTGATAAGTGCACCCAAGCATGCAACTAAAGCTCTCATTATTTTGTTCTTATAAAAAAAAAGGCTTACCCATAATCTCAGCATATCATACTAATTTTGAAATAAGTTTTTTTTTTTTTAAGCTTGCGAATGAGTTGGGCATCACATTTGTTTCCTTTTCTCAGGTAATTTGTTATCCATAATTTCTATATATATATGTGCGTATTTCATAGCTATGCTGAATATGAATGCAACACATTGTAATTTGGTATGTCTGTATTTTTATGGATTCACTCTTGAAAGTGTATAGCCTCCTGCAACTTGTGGAAAGTGTTGGTGTTGCTAGGATTTCTATGGTACTCTTTGGCACTTTTCTGTACTTACACCTGGTTCATGGCCTGTTAAGATTCAAATTGTTGATCATAGAGGTATTGAAAGAAATTTTCAAAATGTATTGTGCTTGGTCAATATTGTTGTTAGCCGCTTTGGCCTGGTGCTTGCTCTTTATGGGTAGCTAACTAACCATTTTTTTTTTCCTTTCGTAATGCTTTGGTCTGGTGATACAATTATTTTCTTTCCTAATGCTTGCTTAGTTATATTGGCTAAGAATTTTTAGTTACTGACCTTGGTTGTATCCAGAATAATCATGATCCATCCAAGTTAGTGGCAGAGACTCCATGTGAGCTACTAAGGTATTTGATCTTCTTGTCATATATCTGTGTACCATTCCTGAAACATGTTTTCTTGAGCTTTTTCTTTGTTTTCTCGTCCTTGGTTTTTCCCTTTTTGTTGCAGTGAATTGGCTTTGAATTATATGCAAATCCAATGGTTAGATCATCTTTAATTCAGAAACAGAATATTCTTTTGAGGGAGGGGGAGAGAGAGAGAGAGAGAGAGACTAACATGGTCTGCACAAGGGTTTTGTGGTTCCATTTCTTGCTTGCACAAGGGTTGTCAAAGCAGAAAAAAGGAATAGAGCCAGTAGGTTATGACACTCTGCATAGTTGGGCTAAATGGCAAGTTAAATCAATTCAGGGTGGAGATTTAATGGTTGTTCCTAAGATTAGATCCTACCGATTTTCATGCTAAAACTACAATTTGCTAGCCACCCAAAAACAGTAGGTTGCATCAATCTTCACTGCTTTCACATTTCTCGTTGCTAGTTTCGATATGTCATCTCTGTTAAAGGTTGTGGGCTCAAGTCACTTGACACCATCTGGAAAAGGCTGCCATTTTTTAATACTACATCCTGCAGTTTATACTTTGTGCTGATTTACTCTGCTGTTGCGACAGAGATGGTAGGGATGCTAATAGAAACTATGATCCAAGAACTCTCTACTTGCCTCCTGATTTTTTTAAGAGCTTAACTGGTGGCCAGGTAATAATTTTATATGGTAACTAGTTCAGACTAATCTGCCAAGAGACCATAAATGGGACAACTTTGATTCACAATTAACTTTAAATTTTCCCTAAATTCCGTCTTAGGATGTGGAGGTGGTTAAGAGATCTTATATTCTAAAAATGCTAATGCTAATAGAAGAAAGACGCCCGGGTGATGTAAACTCTGATTTACTCTGCTGTTGCGACAGAGATGGTAGGGATGCTAATAGAAGAAAGATGTCCTGGATACGCTAGGCTAATAAACACTGCACACTACATGAAACTGGACACGCCACTTCAGAAAATGAAACTTCATTTTTTTAATTTGTGCTTTTTATCTTGTTTCAATTATGAGATGTTTTCAAAACGAAAAAAAGAAAAAGAAAAAAGAAGAGAGGTTCAAGTATCTTTTCTTTCTATGAATAGTTACATGCTTTCTGCTATACAAGAGTTACAACATAAATAGAAGGAAAATGGGTCTGCCTTCGTTTATCAATTTAAGTGTTCTAAATGATAGTTTTTGCCCAAAATGGATTACGACAATGATAGGTATGATTTGCCCTCTTCCATTCATCTTTTGAATGTAATTTATAGGATGCGTTGGATTTGTTTCTTTTTGTGGCTTCTAGATTGCTTTTAAGGGACTTACGTGTAGGTCTTAATAGGTGAATTTATTGTCCAATAGGTCCTATAATAATTAATGATGTTTTTCATCAACACTATTAAAAAACATTAATAATTAATTTTCAGTGACAGTTTGAAAATTGTCACAAAAAACGTTACTAATTATAAGTTTTAGCGATAGTTTAAACAAAATCGTCACAAAAAAAAGTCACTAATTTTCAATTTTCAGTAACAGTTTGAAAAATTCATCATAGAAAAAACGTCTTTAATTGTAAGTTTTAGCGACAATTTATAAAAAAATATGACCAAAAAAAATTCAATAATTGTCAATTTTTAGTAACATGCAAAAAATCATTATAAAAAAATATTTTTGGCGACTATTTTATTAGAATTTATTTTCAATAGGACTTTATAAGAATTAAGTTCAACTATTAGGATTTATTGGTAATTTACCCTCTCTATGCAGTAGTTAGATGGGAAAATTTAGTGTGAGGTCGTGTATGTTGAACAATTTAACAATGCAATTGTTAAATCTACTGGTTGAAGCATTGCACAAAATATGATCTCAAAATTAGTAATGAGGTTGTGTGTTTTTGTATGTAATATGGGAATTCTGAGATGGCATATGTAGGATCAGGTAATATATAATATGTAAAAAATATCTTATAGGCATGATTTTTTGTTTTTCTTTTATTCCATATCAAGCCTTCTCTATGAATTTATTTTTGTTAGATGTTTAGTGATGCTTTGTTGTGCATGACGTTAAGGGAAATGGGTTAATGATAGATTATGCATATTTAATTGCTAGGTTGCATGATGGGTTAATGATAGATTTTGTAAAGAAAAATTCTAAATATACATAAAATTTATATAAAAAACTTGACAAGAATGATATGCCAATGCTATTATTGTAAATAAATTTATTTTTAATGGTATTTTGTTTTGAAGTGAAAGGTTAACAATGAAACATATTATTATGTATGAAAATTATGTATAATTTTTTTTGTTTGTATAGCATTTCTCTTTTGTAAATTTAATTACTTGGTTGCACGAGGATGAGTCATTTTTGCCCAATAGCTATTTTAAGACCATTTGTTAGCCTTGAACTGATATTCTATCCATTTGTTTTCTTTAACTTTATAATGGCATGCTTAATTGCTGATATTTAATGGGTTGATATTCAATGTCTGCTGTAAGTATCCAACCATTCAGTCTATTTTTTTCTGCCTCAAACTTTCTACTCAGACTGAGTTTGTCTTTTTCCCTTTTGACCCATTTGAAGTCCTTGTAATTTTCAGACTCTCGGGAGATACAGTTCCCTTTGATTACAGTGAAAAAGCTTTGATGATTTTGACAATGACAAAGAATGGAAGAGGATGGAAGACTTGATGAAGCTGAAGAGAGCTTTGGATGGATGAAGTTATTTTTAGAGAATTTGGAGAGTAAACTCCATATATATATATATTTTATTAAAATGATAAAATGTTAGTAATTTTTAATTTTTTATTCTTTAGTATACGTTGTTGTTGTTGTTGTTGTTGTTGTTGTTGTTTTTTTTTTTTTTTTTTTTTTTTTTTTTTTTTTTTTTGGGGGGGGGGGGTTTTGGGGGGGGGGGGGGGAGAGGGGGTTTAGCAATTTTTAATTTTTTTTCTTTTGTATACGGTTTTTTAGGGATGGGGAGAGGGGTACGTAGAATTGAAAGATGAAGATTCCTTCACATTATGGTGTTATATCGATATTTTGAAAATGGTGACAGATAATAGGGTTTGCTTTGAACAAAAGTTAAAAAATATAATATAGTTTAATTATGATTTTTTTTTTTGACAAAAAAAAAGGAGAAAATATGGTGTTTTTCATAAAAACCTTGTATATTATATGATTACGTCATAGTTAATTCTTTTAACAGATTTAGAAAAAATTAGTGGCATTTTAAAAAAAGATTGTTCAACGTCTTTAGTGGCGTTTTTTAAATGTCACAAAGGTAAGACGATGGCCTCTTTAGTGGTGAATGTTGTAAACTTTGCCTTATCTTTTTGCGGCGTTTTTTTGGCTTATTGTGGCATTTTTAAAATGCCGCTAATTCTTAATTTTCTTGCAGTATAATATTTTCATGCTGGTGTGGCACTTCTCAACTTCTTATCCACTTTTAATAAAAATAATATTTTTCTATTCAAAAAGTAATTCTAATTTTATTATTTATTAATTCAAGTCATACATATAATTTTAATTATGTAACTTTTTTTATATATTTTTTGAATTATTATTTTAAATTTTTATTAAATATTAGTCTCATTTTAAAGATTTTATTGATATTTTATGAATAGTATTAATTTTATAAAAATTGAATTTATATATTAAAAATTATATGTATTTTATTAAAATAAAATTTGTTTTGTTTATTTTGCACCGATCGGATTTGTGCCCCGCCCAGATTAACCTTACGCTATGTATAGGTTGTAGTATTTTTTTAATATTTATTTTTGTCAAATTAATTTATATTTTATTTTAAAAAATAAACTGAGAGGGTAATTTTTATGAAAATTGGGCCGAGCTAAGAGATGGTCATTATGGCCCATAGTACGAAGGGCTGGGTAAAAAGGCCGTAAAGTTACTCCGGCCAAAGAGAGGTACAAAATTACTCCGGCCCGAGAGAAATGTAAAGTTATTCCGGTCCGGAAGCGACTTGGAGTTAGGCCGGTCTTAGAGTTAGCCCGGTCATGGCGTATTGTGGTTGGAACGGTCAGAACCTTGCTACTCGGTAGCTCGGTCTAAACACACCATAGTTTGTACATGAGAGAACCGAGATAAGGAGGAGTAAAAGGAAGAACCGAACTAAGGATAGTTCGGCCTACTCTGCGGCTCAGCATAGCCATGATTACTTCAGTCATGTTGGAGTTCGGCCATGGTAATAACCATCTCACTTTGTTTAAGCAGTGAGGGGGGTGTTGGAGGATAAGGATTATCCTTCAGGAGGTTAAATTCTAGGAGGACTCTGCGTGAAGGAGTAGAAGTCCTACTAGGATTGTGCCACACGAAACTTATAAAAGCTCACAAACATCACCTTTGGAGAGGTAACACACAACTTTGCTTTTTGAATACACGGAGCTTTTGTCTATTTGTCAAGCTTACTGACTTAGGCATCGGAGAGGTTTCCGGCACACACCCGCCGGCTAGCTCACGTTTGTGTTTTCAGGTGGTAAAGCGACGACGTACAGAGGAGCGCAGACTTGATCAACAGGATTATACGAGAAGGTTTATTTCTTTCCTGTACAATTGGCGCCGTCTGTGGGAATAACAGATAGGACAAAACCTCTTGATCAAGCTTTGCCTCTTGAGGAACAATAGCGCACAATGAAGAATTACCACAGTTCGCCATCGACGGGCAAACATCAGATGGGGGGACCAGGCGTGAAGGATTACCTTCTATCCCTCCCATGGCGGACTTGGAGTCCCAACGACATAACCCCAAGAGAGATACTAGGAGAAGACGGACTCACAGCCCCCATCACTCTCGTTCACAAAGTCCTGATAGGCAAAGGCAGAGGATTGATCCTCAAGTTCTGGAGGACCGCGTGAAGGAGCAAGACGAATTAATAAGGAAGATGGCGGCGGACATGGAGGCCTTGAAGCGCTAGATGAAGAACAAAGAAGTGACGACAGGAGAGGGGCGCAAAAATAAGACGCCCCCTCGCCACTCAGAAAATCGTAATAGGAATACCACACCCTCGCAAAGAGAGAGTAGAAGCCTCAGGACAGGCGATACTCAATCCAGGTCTTCCAGAACTCGTCACTCCAGGTCTGAGAGGACGAGATCTGAAAGATCATACACTGAAGGAAGCACGTATTGGCCTTCACATTCACACCAAACCAGATCTAGACAAAC